TTAATAAAGATTTATGAGTACGCTAGGTTTTAGGCAAAGGGCATGACAGTACGTAGGTATTGTCATGCCGTTACACCTGTAATAATTAGTAATGATTAAATAAGCTCAAAGTACATTCTGTTTCATTCGCGTAGTTAGTTGGCTTTTCCACAGGTAATTACAGGGTGTTTAAAGAAGTCGGGTTAAGGAGTTGGTGTAACCCTTTCGTTGGGGATGCAACGCTAGACGTAATAATGGAAGTCGTTGCATATCCCCTAAGAAAGGGGGCATCACCCCTTTTTAATCCGTCACAATATATTAGCTAAACTTGTCCCTCCTTTTTGTAAAGTTATTAAATATTGTGTTTTTTTTCCTTCCGCATTAAACCAAAGTTCAAATAGGTTTTTGAAATTTTTTTCTGCACTAGCACCTGCTCTACTTAATATACTAGACATATTAGTTAAATTTATACCTTCCCTTTTCAGAAACTCTAAATATTTTTTTCCTTCTCCTTTGATTAAAAAATCTAAGAATCGATGAAACCTTGGGGTCTTTTCCTTACCAGCAACACTTTTAGCCAATTTAATTTGTTCTTCATTAATGTCTTTATTTTGAATCCCCTGATAACTAGATCTATTGTTTTTTATATCTTTGTAAAGCTCTTTCATTTTTCTTTTTGTAATAAAAACAAGTTCATGAGATTCTAACCAACGTAATACTATTTCATGTAATTCTTCATAACTATAAGGAACATTTGACTTATCTATTTCCTCTCTAATAACGCCACTCAATTCTTCCTTATTTGGTTGGTTAATCGCAAATATTAGTTTATCTAAAAACTTCTCTTTTATTTGTTTTTCATTCTCATTAGAAAGTCTTTCTTTTTCTTTCTGCAAGGAAGGCGAAATCTTCAATAGACTTAAAAGCTTCTCTCTTGTTATTTCATCTTGCGAAAATTGATAAAGACGATTCTTATTTATACATAAGCACTCTCTTAAAATTTCATATTTCTTTTCTTGAATATCAATACTATCAAATTTTAAAGGATAAAAATCTATAAATTGCCCTTTATTAAATTCACCTTTATCTGTAAAGTCTAGATCTGCATTAGTATAGATAATAAAATATTTTATATTCTTATCCTTTTCTAATTCTTTAATATAAAAAGCAAAAAGCTTATCAATAGAAGATGTATTAATTTTTTTCTGTTGTCTACTATTTGTGTTATAAACCTTTAAGTAAGTAATTTTATCTTTATAATGATAGATAATGTCATTATATACATCATGGCCTTCAAAATTTATGGAGGATATGTTTTTATGCAAAAACATGTCATGCAAAAAAAGCATCAATAAATTGAGGTCATATATAATCCTAGGCCCAAGTTTTTCATACTTTCCTGAAGCTGTAAGATCACATAATGTTTCTTCCTGTAGTGTTGTATAATCGCATTGAAATTTATTATTTTTTTCTATTTCACTTTTAATAATGCCGTTCAATTCTTCTCTATTAGGCTGATTTACTGCAAATACTAATCTATCTAAAAAAAGTTCTTTTACTTTTTCCTGTGAAAAGTTTCGTTCTTTCATTGCTTTTAGTGCAGAAGATGAAAATTCTAGTCGCTTCAAAAGTTCCTCTCTTGCTGTTTTATCTTGCAAAAATTGATAAAAACCTCGTCCTTGCGTATTATCATTTGTATATAAGAAGTCTTTTAAAATACCATATTCTTCTATATTTATGCTATTAAATTTAAAAGGATAAAAGTTCCTAGATTTTGATTTCTTTAATTCATTTTCTTCTGTAAGATCCAAGCTGGAATTGGTATAGACTACATGATATTCTATATTATTTAATGACCTTTCAAAGTTAGAGGACAGATGTTTAACAAAACTATCAAAGAAGCCATTAAGAGAAAAACCTGATTTTCCTTTACAAAATAGCTCAGCATAATTAATATTAAAATCTGTATATTTGTCTACATATTTAATTTGTATACGAATAGACTTCTCTTCATAACAAAGAACAATATCTTTGAATTTATCAATTTCAGAATCTACAAAGTCTAATGAAAACGAAGGATACTTATGTTCATATATAGACTTTCTAAATAAGCAAAGCACTGACAAGTCTAATTGATGCATAAGTTGAATCAAATTATGAGGAATGTATCGCTTAATCTGACAAGCATTATGCAGTTCACCCTGCTCAGGTTCGTCTTGTGAATCACTAAAAAATTTTGAGTCTTCATTAATAATATTTACATCCTTGCACCACCTCTTCGATATTCTATCATCATCGTCTGTAAAAGAACACCTTCGCTTTCTACTCGTTTCACTATTTTTCATATCTGGACTCCACGGATGACTACCTTGTTCAAACGAGGAGTTTTCAATATCTGTAGGAATGTAAGATTTGGACATATGATTTAAATTTGATCCTATCACATTACCATAAACTTCCTTTCTAGAAATGTGTATGCTTCTCTTTATATGTTTTTCAATCTTACTAAGTAATGGTACAAAATGGTTCCTGTAATTTACTATATAAATAATATTATCCCCTGTACCTACCTTACCTTTAGTAATATGTTTTCCATCTATCTCTTCATCTCTCAATTCTATAATCCTAACTTTTATGCCGTACTTTTCACATATAATTTTTCCTTCAATTTCAAGTCTTCCGCATATCATTTTTTCCAACTTTAGAATTTTCATTTCTGAACCTGAACTTGTATTTGCAATGTTTTCTGTAGTAAATATAATACGCCGAATATATTCACAAAGTTTTTTGCCTTCTCTTTTTAAAGCACTACCCAACCATGAATCTTTTTTTGATTGATTAACTTGTTGTGCATATTGCTTACAAGTTTTCCGTAAAGATTTTACACTAAATCCTTTTCTGTGTGTAATCAGACCTTTACCTTTTAGCTCGTTTAATCCTTGAGCTATGGAATCAAAGAGACAATCCCCACCAACAATAGCAGCTCCAATCTTAAAGCCCTCTGGCAATTTCTTCCTTAGCGTATGTAAAAGTTGATTAAGTTTCTTTTTTTCCTCTTCATTCTTTGCATTTTTTAACTCACGGAAGGTGGAAATAGGATCTCTAGTAACAAATTCTGACTGTTCTAGAGTCTGCTTACTATTAAGTAATTTAGTGGACCTTTTATTACCTGCTAACATATTGACTCACTACACTAAACTATTCCCATAAAAGTCAACAAAGTAAAGTTTTGTCATCTTTTTATGACTAATGACATTAATTCAATACTTTTTGTCATTAACTTAATAATATGGTCGCTTTGTTTACGTAAAAATAATAAACTTAAGAAATGTTTTTCTTGGAATGGATTTGTTTACCCATAAGTAAGGAAATTAATTGTTTTGACATACTTTTTTACTTTTTCTTTACTTACATATGAACTAATTCGACAAACTTTGTTGCGAAAACTTTAACCTTCTATTTTTATAGCCTTAATTTACGTGGTTTTCTTTTTCACAAACGTGCGACCCCTTTGTCATTTTGAGAAGCATCACTAATTTAATTCTTTATAACACATATCAGCGTGGTACTTCTACTAAAAGATTTTTGAAAAAAAAACAATATAAAAAATTGTTTATAAATAAATCTGTGCGAGTATTGACATCCTAGAGATGATCAAGATCATTATTATATTGTCTAGGGATCATACGGTCATATTTTACTCCATAGTTTTAGAGTTTTACTCTTTTATCAATGACCGATATATAGGCAAATACACATTTGTACACATTATTATATTGTCTAGGAGCAAACAGAAGCAAATAGACATAAACCGAAATTTTTAGTTCGGAGAGAGCCTATGATTGATACAGGCATAGATAAAAGAAGAGTATACACATAGGCATGCTACCGGCGTGGGTCTATGTACGGGCGCATAGATAAAAGAAGAGTAGGGTCTATGGCGGACATGTTCAACTTGCGGCCCGCGGGCCGTATGCGGCCCCATAGCGATTTTTATGCGGCTCCATGACAAACAACAATCGCACCAATAATTATTTTCAATTTAAATAAATAAAATAATTTTTGTAAAGGCTAATATAGAATTCTGAGCACTAAGTCAGCTTCAACCGAAAGTAATGGTCATTAATCGAATGAATAGATGTCGATATGACGATGCAACGGACAACGGGAGACTAGCGGCTCTATCGAGTGGGTAATACCAGTCTATAAGTCCATATGCTTGTAATCGTGGGAGAGTTATTTCCGAAAAAATGTTCATATTACGATTATTTAAAAAAAAAGAATTTTCAAACAGTTTTCAAATGCAAAAAAAAAAAACATTTTTTTAAAAAAAGTCCTTTTTTTTCAATAATTTCAAGATTCTCAAAAATTTAATTTTTTACAGTTACTTGGGTTCACGAGATGTTTGATCGCTCGTGTTTTTTGCCTAAAAGAGGATAAAAATACGCGTTTTAAAATTGTTAGTAGCAGACAAAATCTAATAAGAAGTAAAAAGTCTTCTAAAATGTGTTTGGTCTGTGGTAAAATGTACTTAACAAATAGAATGCACCATGAAGAACATAAAAAAGCAAACTTGATAAACATGTACGCCACTTTCACACGAAAATTGTGCTTTTTAAACATCAATAATAAATATATTACAATTAAACAAATATTTCATTATTTCTTTCTAATTTCCCATAATAGCTCTAGCCAACTGTTCTTATTTTCAGTGAATTTTATAATATGTAAAATATTTTTTTAATTTTTTTTCTAATTTCCCTTGAACACTTTGTATATCTAAAATAAATAAATAAATAAATATATTCATTACTAGTTCAACCTAAATTGTATATTATATAATATTTACCCAACAATTTCGAACACACGGACTTTCATTTGACGTTTAAGCAATCGAGTTTGACATATCTCGGCCGCGAAATTACCCTCGTATGCCCTCATACCATAGAACATCTTTTGACACTTTTTTACTTGAGAAATGTATGGGGACTAGCAGTCCATGAAATTGTATAAGGTCTATGATTACGGTATCTTATGCTATTCACCTGAAGTCGCTGCATGCATGTTTGACACAAAAACTTCAGCAGTTTTCTTGTTTGTCTACCTGTCATTGTGCATTTCTGTAATAATAATAATAAATGTAATGCTAGGCAGTCTTAGAATGAATAAAAGAAATCTGCTATTTCTAAATAAATAATATAATATATCTACATAAATAAAATAATTCTAATATTACAAAAAATAAAAAAAAAAAACTATTTTGTTAATCCATGTAAAAGCATATTATAAATGAGCTATCCATAGAAATTGGTAGCTTGCCCACACAATTATAAGTAGTACAGCTTTAAACTAGAATCAAATAGACCTTTCGAATTATTGGAATATGAAGACTGCGTTAATGGTAGCGGAAAAACCTTCCCTAGCACTTTCTTTAGCACAGATTTTAAGTGATCGACAATGCAATACACGGAAGAGTATTAACTCTGCTTGTAGCGTGCACGAGTGGACAGGCACATTTAAAAATGAAATTGTTAAATTTAAAATGACCTCTGTATGTGGACATGTATATACTTTAGACTTCGATTCCAAGTATAATAATTGGGACAGCGTGGATCCAGTTGAATTATTTACATGTCCTACAGAGAAAAAGGAAGCAGCACCGAATTTACGAATACCCATGTTTCTCTCTCACGAAGCTAAAGGATGTGATTATGTCATATTGTGGCTGGATTGTGATAAAGAAGGTGAAAACATATGTTTTGAAGTTTTGAACTGTATACAAAGAAGTGTAAAGTTTGATGTGCGAGATGCAAGGTTTGTATATCGGGCAAAATTTTCAGCTATTACAGAAAAGGATATAAAATCAGCAATGATTAAGCTAGGAAAACCTAATGAGAATGAAGCCAAAAGCGTAGATGCTCGTCAAGAATTAGATCTTAGAATTGGATGTGCTTTCACAAGATTTCAAACTAAATTTTTTCAGGGTCGTTATGGAGATTTAGATTCAACTCTAATATCTTATGGACCTTGTCAAACACCTACTTTGGGATTTTGTGTTCAGAGACATGATGAGATTCAAAGTTTTAAACCTGAACCATTTTGGTATGCTAAATTACAATTAGAATCTTTGGATATAGCCCTGTCATGGAGTAGAGGTAATATATTTGACAAAACAGTTGCAGTATTACTTCAGTCCCTTTTATCGGGTTATGAGACAGCTTCTGTCACATCCGTAACTTCGAAAGAACTAGCAAAACAAAGACCATTAGCCTTAAATACTGTAGAGCTTATGAAAGCAGCAAGTGCAGGATTGGGTTTAGGTCCTCATAGTGTAATGCATATTGCAGAGAAATTATATACTCAGGGTTATATAAGTTATCCCAGAACTGAAACTACACACTATCACGATAGTTTTAATACAAAAGATGTTTTAAATATTTTATCTCATTCTCAAGAATACAAGGAATTGGTTGCAAATGCCAAAATGTCAAATCAGAAACCTAGAAAAGGTCATGATGCAGGAGATCATCCGCCTATAACACCATTAAAAAACGCCTCCCGCAGTGATTTTGTAGATAATGATTCATGGAGAATATATGATTACATTTGTCGCCATTTTATTGCATCTTTAATGCAGGACTTGAAATATAAATGTATAACTTACCAAATGCTGCTTGGTGATGAATATTTTCACTGCGTAAGCAATTCTCTTATTCATGCTGGTTATACAGAAGCGATGCCATGGCAGGGTTTTGGGCAAAATGATAATAAGTTGAATTTAAATGTTGGGGATAAACTTCCTGTTAAAGATTTACAACTCATAGAAAGCCAAACAAGTCCACCAGATTATTTGACTGAATCAGAGCTAATATCTTTAATGGAAAAACATGGTATAGGTACTGATGCCTCTATACCAGTTCATATAAATAACATATGTCAACGAAACTATGTTTCAGTAAGTTCTGGAAGAAGATTGATACCATCTACGTTAGGTATAGTATTAGTTCATGGATATCAGCGTGTGGACTGTGAACTGGTGTTACCGACAATGAGAAGTGCCGTTGAAGAGCAGCTAAATCTTATAGCACTAGGTAATGCAAACTTTAATGCAGTTTTGAAACATGCTATCAAGATATTCCAACAAAAGTTTAATTATTTTGTTGGGAATATCAACTTAATCGATCAATTGTTTGAAGTGTCTTTTTCTGCGCTCTCAGAGTCAGGAAAAAAACATTCTCGATGCGGAAAATGTCGACGTTATATGAATTATATTCAAGCAGCACCCTCACGTCTCTATTGTGCACACTGTGGTGAAACTTACTCCCTTCCCCCTGGTGGTATTTTAAGGGTTTATAAAGAATTAAAATGCCCATTGGATGATTTTGAGTTATTAAGTTATTCAACAGGTGTTATGGGTCGTAGTTTTCCTCTATGTCCCTATTGTTATAATAATCCACCATTCAGCAATATGTCTCGAGGTTGTAATTCTTGTACTCATCCAACGTGTCCACATGGACTTATGAGTAATGGCATTGCCAAATGTTCAGATTGCTCTGGAAAAAATAGTGGCATATTAGTTTTAGATCCATCATCAGGCCCTAAATGGAAAATAGGTTGTAATGCTTGTGACATCATAATCAATGTGTTTGAAGATGCACAAAAGGTACTAGTAGAGAAAACAGAATGTGATGAATGTGGTTCACAATTATTATCTGTATTATACAAACCAGAAAAATCAAAATTTAAAAATGCATCAGAATTAACAGGTTGCATATTTTGCTCGCAAAGCTTTACTCATTTAGTTAAAAAACATTTTGCTGTTAAAAGTAAATCTGTAGTAACTGCAGGAAAAGTTCGAATAAGCAACAGGGTTGGTAACAGAATGCGCAGAAAACCACGACATCCAAAAGATAAAATGTCACAATTAGCTGCTTATTTCGTTTAAATATTTATACAAAAAAAATCAATGTATAAATAATGTGTGGCGCGTACAGTAGAATTCACAATCGAAGAAAAAACTGGAAAATAAATTACAATAATTAGCGACACGAAAAAGAAAACGAATTTTGTATTGCATACAAATATCTGTATTAAATGATAAAGAAAATCATATATGTATGATTTATAAATATATGTTTAATATATTTAAGAGCATCAATCCATCTTGACCTTACCTTAATTCAGCCAGGTTCCAGCCTGAATAAAATTCTGTACTGTGACACTGAGTAAATTAACAGAATTAAGTGATTTGTGTATTTGTAATATCCAAATGTGCGAAGAAATTAAAAAATACTCTACTGTCAAAAATATTAATTTGTATAATTATAATCTGATTAATTCTGTAAGTGGAAGAATACTGATTCTAATTAAATGTTCAACTAAATATATATGAATCGAAATGAACGTTTAAAATACTTGCAATTCATTTCTAATGCTATAAATAATTTGGAAATATTTCAGAGGTGGCTTATAATATGGTATTTCATAATTGTTTTTCGATTTTAACTACTAAAATTATTATTTGAGTAATTTTTTGTATTATTTAATTTTTCTTTTAGTCAGGCAGGGGTGCCTGGTATCAGTGATTATGAAAAAAAATTACATATGGTCTAGCCATCATCGTTTTCTTTATAATATATTTTTATTTTTGTTTTGCAGCTTTACCCATCACTATCTTAATGTTTTTCGGAAACTCATTAGTTAATTTTAATTCGAGAACAAGAAAACAGAAAAATAAAGAAGTGAAATAATAAATTGAATGTGTAAATTCAAATTATCTAATATTGGAAATTATTAAAAAATCAAAGTACAAAATGTTTTGAATAACAAACAAACAAAAATTGAAGTTTAATATGATTTTTGAAGCAAAATATAAAAAAAAAATGATTTGCCTTATTTCACTCAAGTAGTGATATGTGTAAAATAAGTTAACAATTTTTTGAAGAAATTAGGATTTTTTTCAGATTTCAAAGATAATGATATATGATGTAGTTAATTTCAAATTATTAAAGATTAATTATATAATGTTAATCCTTGTTAATTATTAAATGTTTAACCCTATTTATTATAATTTATTTTAATCTTAATATAAATTTATATCGCTATCACTTAAGTGATAGTGCATATTACTTATATCTTGAATAATACCATAATAATACAATAAACTTAACTACAATTTGTACAAATCTATATATATATATATATATATATATATATATATATATATATATATCTTCTATATATATAAAAATAAGTCGGATTTTCCTTCCTGACGAAATAACTCCAGAACGCACGAACCGATTTCGACAATTTTGCATTCGTTGGAAAGGTCTCGGGCTCCGCAAGGTTTATAGCTAAGAAAATTAGTTGTGCATGGCATCGTGCCTAAATGCAAGCTGCTGGAACTTCACGCACCGTAATTAAAAATTCGAGTAATAAAAATAATCAATAACTGTTTTAAACAATTTCAAATAGATTATCTTCTATATATATAAAAATAAGTCGGGTTTTCCTTCCTGACGAAATAACTCCAGAACGCACGAACCGATTTCGACAATTTTGCATTCGTTGGAAAGGTCTAAAGTTATAGGTTGCCTGTTCACGAGTTGGAAAACCATCCGCTTTGTTTGTGTTAACGTCAGACCAAGAAACAAAAAATGTGGTTTACCAAAGAGCACTTCAATGAAATGGATAATTTGCGGATTCACTTTCATTTACTTAGAGAAGTTCAACTAAAAAACACTTCATTTTTTAATCGAAATAACTTCATTACTGTTGTATAATAAAATCAAATTTTTCCTTTTCAAATATAAAACAAACAAAAAATGTCTTCATCTTTCTCACGAAACCATCTGGTGGCGAAACGAAGTTCGCCGGGTTTGCTAGTATATATATATATATATATATACATAGCTGGGCATTAACTCGTTAATCCGTTAATCGTTAATTAACGAAGTTAACATTTTGATTAACGGATTAACTTTTAAGTTAACTTTTGAAAATGTTAACGGACACGTTAACTTCCGTTAAAATGCCAGAAGTCCGTTAATCGTTAATCCAATGCCCAGGACCGCAGGCGGCCGCCTTTTGAGACGGCCGAGGGGCGGCCAAATGAAAAAAAGAACAAATTCGAAGACGGCCATAACAAAAAATGGTCGAAATAAATAGCTGTTGCATTAAAAGTCTACTGAATTTAAAGGCGGCCAAATTAAAAGACTGTTGGATTAAGAGGCGGCTAAGCTCAAAGTCCGCTGAACTCATTCGCTGCCGTAAAGTCCGCTGTATATATCTAAAAGACCAAAATTACCGTAGTAAAAATCAGCCAAAGGCGGCCCTATTGAATGCGACTCTGTTTCTAAATAATTTATAAGTTATAAACTTGGTGTAAGTGGCAACTTTGCCTAAATCAAGTTGCATGAAGTATCCAACATGTGTTAATAATCGACTTAACAATGAAAATATATTAATTCATGAGTACATTGCAATGTGAAAAACTATCGCAGATTATTCAATTTTGTACAAATTTTTTAAAAATATTAGTTATGTTTTATAAATAGTTTAAAAATTACATATTATTGAACAAGAAACAAACTGTAGTAAATTAAAAACAAGATCCAAATTTCCAAAGCAATTTGTTAATCAATAACTGAAAAACGACTCGTCGATTATTGACAAAATTTAATCAGCAAGATTCTCAAATGGAAAACGTTTGTAATGGTTTTTGAATTTTTAAAATCAATTCACTAATTAAAAATTTGAGACTTTTTTGAAAATTCTAAAGGCAAAACTAAGCAGCACGAGTGCTTATCGAATTTACGAATTTTGACGATTTTTCAAATGGGATTGTGCATTTTTGAGAAAAGGTCGACTAAAGATTAAATTTTGACTCACGTAAAAAAGCGCCGCTCATTTTTGCAATCTTTGATAGTACATATTTTAAAAATTAAAATGACTTAATGTGGGTCGAAATATTTAGTTATCTTAGAGACCATGATCACTATCGCCAAAAAAGTTTTATAAATATCATCGTAAAGCAATATTCACCAATTAAACACGAAGAAACGAACCGACCGATCTCTTAGAACTAATCAGCACGATTCCTAAATGATATCTTTCAAACAGTTCCTGAATTTTTAAAATCGATGCAGAATTTTTGGCTAAAACGTGTACAATAAATTTCATATTTTTCTGTTGATTAGAAACAGCTTGGCCGATCGTCGTACAAAACTGACAGGCGCTAGTCATTATCTAGTTACATCAAATGACTTTTAAACTTTTGAATTGGATTTAACCGTTTTTTTGAAAACGTTGCCGAAAATTCAAAAATCGGCTTTCAAACGATTCAGAATGACTTAAAATGTCGAGAAAACTTGAAAATTACAAGACGATTTTTTTCGTGCGAACATATTGGATATTTTCCTATTATGCTATTTTTAAGGGCGGCCATTTATATGCTCGCACGCAGGCGGCCACGTACCCAGGCACGGCCCTGCCAATTATTACTATTTACCGCACGGCACAGCTTTAGCCAATGCCTTATTAAATGACATAGAGAAAATAAAAAAAGATTTGGACCACTCGTGAATGATGAACAGTGCCAACATGTTCAAAAGACTTGTTCAACGATGCTGCATTCCTCGGGGAACAGATATTCATATATCAATTTATTAAATACAATACTGCTATACCCTCAAGCGCTGCAGTTGAACGTTTGTTTTCCACGGGTAAAGACATTTTGACACCAAAACGAGCCTCGCTTTCAGACGAGAACTTGAACATGTTAATGTTCATGAAGGGGAATATGCACCTTATGCCCGACGCTTAACCCGTCGCGCGTTTCCTATTTTTCGCAAAAAAACTGTTTCCCTTTATTTAGAAAAAAATTCTTGTAAAAACAATATGCAATCATAAAAACAGAAAGTTGACCAATAGCGTTATTATCGCGGTGTGTGCATAAAGCGCGTCGCGCCATTAAGGGGTTGAATTACACATTTGAATTATACAAGTATTTTGTTTTATTCATAACCTGTTAACTTCCAGAACCTAAAGCAATAAGTTTTTTAAGTTCACTAACGCAACGATATAAAAATGTAATTTTACACATATTAACGGATTAACGATTAACGTTAACTTGCGTTAATTATTCCGAAATGTAACGCTTTAACGTTTAACGAAGCTAACTTTTTTTGTAGCGGATTAACGATTAACGAAGTTAACTTTTTGATTAACGGTGCCCAGCTATGTATATATATATATATATATATATATATATATATATATATATATATGAAAATTATACAAATTCTTACATTTAATTTATAGTTAACGAAATATATAAATTTAAAATTTTCTATATACTTATATTCAATTAAAATGTTTCTCTTCGACGTTGAAACATATTCTTGAAATGTTTTTCTTCAGTCAAATAGTCTAAATAAATAGCAATAAATAATTTGAATAATTATATTATGTACGTTTAGACACTATGTGTCATTCAGCAAGATGAGCCCGCAGTTTTCGTATGTATCGCAGTCAGGGTAGCGCCGGCCCTTTGATTATCAAATTGTACTGGAAAACGAAGACACTCTAATGTCCATTTGCCACGTTTCCAAAATAACAATTTGGCAATTCAAGAGCACTGGGGCAAACTTGGCCCTCAGTTCTCAAAATAAATTCTATTTTATACAGCCAAAAAAACCTTACATGACAAAGAAATTCACCACAAACAGTTACATTGGGCTACTCTACTATCTATTATAAAACCTACCGCTAAAGTTTTTATAAGAACGAGAGCTGAGTGCCCTATTTTTTCAATAGTTTAGGCATTTACACTTGTTAACTTCCCTAGGGTCAAGTTTAAGTTTTCATCACAAAATCCGATTCGCTAATTTTATATTTTCTCGACGTTTGAATCCATTCTGAATCGAATGAGAACAAATTTGGAAAAACACAAACATATTGTGTGAATAGATTTTTTGCCGTAAATCGACGTGTTCTCAAATTCAGACCGATTTGAAAAATTTTAAAGCTTTCGATGTATCTCGATGAGGAGTAGCGTTTATGAATTTTGCGCGACGATCACCCAAACCGTTTCTTTGTAAATAGCAGAAAAGTGAAAAATTTTTCGTTTACGTTTTAGCCCGCAATTCTGAATCGATTTTGAAAATTCAAAAACCGTTCGAAAGATATTGTTTGGGAATCGACCTGATTAGTTTTTGGTAAAGATCGGCCCTGCCGTTTTCTTGTAATAAGGTGTTAAAAATGTGTTTTTCGGCAATTTCTATGAAAATGACGATACTTATTTTTGCAAACTTTGATGAATTCTTGAAATTAAACG